TCTTTTTCAGTTTATGCCCCAGTCTCTAGATAAGTGTTGTATAGATATTTCTTCCCTGGTAGTCACATTGAAATTTGAGTTTACACTGTTTGTGACACTGTGCAAACTTTACCTTCATAAACTATTTCCATTGACAAATTTGGCTTTCCCCTTTGGTCATTTTCTTTGGCTCAGATGGTTGAGGTTGAAGTCACTACCTCTGTCATTAGCATAATTCACTTTCACCAGTGCATTTCTACTCACCCTCAGATTTGCCTCTATCTTCCATGGCTTCATCGGTGACCAGCAAACACCAGGATTAGGAATTGTCTAGACAGGAGCAGTCTGCTCTGGTCACCAGCAAGCAGCAAGCCCTGTGCTTACCCGAGGGCTGATCTGGGTGGGTGCGTTGTAAGGTCTTCGTTTCTTTGGGCTATTGTCCTTTTTTTTTTTAATCCCCAGAATTACTGACTTTTGAGTGAGCACACAACTTGCACATCCAGAGTTATTTGAATTTGGCTTTCTCATTGCTGTCTCGTTTTTGAAGCAGTGTGTGGGGAAACAGACATGTCGCACTGTGTGTTTGCCTGAGATTCCCGAGTAGGCGTTGCACCGGGAGAAGACAAGGCCTGCCGCAGCAGGTGCTGCTTGTACCGGGGCCCAGAGGGGTGGCAGGTGGCCGCGTCTGGACCAGAGTGCTCACTTCCTTCCCCTTAACCCACACCCGAAAGCTGGCTCAGTGTTAGGACTTCCCCCAGAGCCTGTGGGATACAGGGGGAAGCAAATAATCCAGTTGAAACCTCTCCTCCTGCCTTGTGCTGCTTCCTGGCCTTGGCTGATTAATTAGTGTGTTCTTTGAAGATTGCTCTTATCTCTTACCTCATCGATAGTCACCAAAGTGAAAAAAATCATGTCCCAGCTGAGCGTGCAGTTCGCAGGAAATAGCTATCCGTCTACTCTCCGAAGACATGCACGAGGTTCATCCTTGCCAGCTCACTGCGATGTGCAGCTGGGACCCTGTGTGATGGGATGTTTGTTATCAAACAAGAATACTGGGCACCCATTTAACCTGAATGTCACTTAAAGGATGAAGACTACTGAATGAGATATAGTAATACTCAATACTCAAATATTATTCAGGGTTTATGTGGAATTTAAATCTAATGGGCATTGTGTGCTTAATCTAGCAATCCTAGGACATAAGCATGCTTGCTTACTGTTCTGCTAAGATGAGACACACATGCCATTTGGCATAATAATGGCCGGAAGTTTCATGTAATAGCCATCATCAGTACTTTCAAATGACAACTATCCCGTCAGCTCAGTCCCACTTAGGAGTCTTGCGGTGGCTAGGCAAAGTGGCGCCCACCTGTGATCTCAACACTCTGGGAGGCTGAAGCAGGGGGATCATGAGGTTGAGCCCAGCATGAGCAACTTAGGGGCTTAGTGTGAATAATAATAATTAGTAATAATAATACAAATTTTTAAAAATAGGACTGAGACATAGCTCAGGGTAAAGACACTGGATTCAGTTCCTAGTACACAGAAAAAAATGTTAAGAAACTTTTATTTATTTCTGACATTTTTTTTCTTGCAAATGACTTTGATTAGAGTACTGAATTTAAGATATATAGAAGACATGTATAGGTTTTTTATCTATGGACATTTTTCAGACTTACTATTTGATCAGATGAAAGCAATTACAATGATTTTATTGACATTTTTATGACACTTTAGGTTACAATCCTTCCATATTGGAAAAATACAGGTTTCTTGCTTCCTCTTCATACTGACCAATGTAGCTCTCGCTGAAGCTCATGAGAAAGACGTCACAGCAGATATTGGAGTAATAATGATGTTCTCAGTGTAGGCCAGATTTTCTCCCTCTTCCTTTGCTCCTGCCCTTCTCTCCTCCCTTCCTTTCTTCCTTCCTTCCCTCTTCCCTTCCTTCCTTCTTCCCTTCCCTTTCTTCTTTCCTCTCTCTTTTGCTCACTCTTTTCCAGCACATATTTATGAAGCTCCCAAACTGCAGCCACAGTAGTAGCCACTATACAAAGTTGACCCCCACCCCTGTGGAGCTCAAGATGGAAGGAGAAGCCACGGAACAAATCAATTAAACCTGGATCTGTGATAAGTGTTGTAAAAACAAAAACAACAACACAATACAGAGCCACAAAGGATAATCCTGCCTTCTCATATCAAATAGCTATTTGTTTTGAGAGAAGGTCTGTTTTGTAAAATGGGCTCTGTTTTTCTGCAACTGAATGCAAATGACACTGCCAGTTGTCACCTTGGGCAGAGGAACTGCATGTACCAGGTTAGGACAACCAAGTTTCCTAGTGCTGCACACAAGTTCTGAAGGCTGGTGGCCCGAGCACAAAGAGGCAGAGGTGAGGGCGGAGCCAGATGTCCCAGGGTCCAGGTCCAGCAAGGTCCATGATGACACCATTGTACAGTGACCTTAGACTGGGATGGAGCATGAGGGATGGAGGCAGGAGAGCCGAGTCCTCAGATGTGTACCTAAAGCTGACGCTAGGTGCAGGGAGAACAGAGTGTTTGTCTGGGGAAAGGGAGGTAAGGAAGGTGATCTAAAGTCAAGTAGTGGAGGTGAGGGGTGGCAAGGAGCAGCTGGATGTGGACCAGGTGAGCCCGGTGAGGAGGGGGAGGGTCCCGCAGGCGGGTCAGTGCCTGGTGCGGCATTGGGGTTAATGGAGCCATCATCCTTGAGACCAGGCTGTAGGAGGTGACGAGATAGTAGTGACCAGGAGAGTAGGACATTGTGGTTCTCAGACCTCTGAGGCTCAACTACAGGTGCAGGGCCAAAATTTATAGTGACATTCCAGCCAGAAAGACAGACATCACAGTTGTTAGTATTCCATGGGTCACCATAGGAGACAAGACTGTGACTGAGGGTAGGTGAGCACAGAAACGGGAAACAGGAAGTGAGTGCAGAAACAGGCAACAGGAAGTTAGCACAGAAACAGGAAACAGGAAGTGACTCTGGCAATGGCTGAGGGAAGAGGGTAATTCAGAGGGGACTCTGCAAGTGACTAGACACCCACAGGTGAGGGAAGAACAGGGAAGACTGAACCCATACCGTGCACCTACCTCAGAAGTGCTAAGCCCCATAGTTTTGTTAGACCCCACAGCTGGAAAATCAGATGCAAGATGAGCACTGTAAGTTTTTGATCAGTGATGACTAATTCAAGTCAAATTATTAAAAATCTTTGAAAACTGACATCTTTTCAATTACCTAAGACTGAAAAGCACATGGTATTCACATTTAGTCTATCATTAATTTGGACAGATTCCTGAGAGTGATCACCAAAAAACGAAGCAAAACTAAACTAAACTAATATGCATCAAGGAATCTTTGTTAAGCAGTTGAGTAGAGTTTAGTTCTGGAACCCGTGTTTCCAGTGTCACGCCAAGCTGGTGGGAAAATGCCATGAGAGTCACAAAGCAAGGCTCTCCAGCTGGCCCCTGTCTGCATTTACTGCCCTGATTCTATGGCTGTCCCTTTTTCTTTCCTCTTTGTCTTCCTCCCTCTGTCTTTCTCTGTCCTTCTCTTTTTCTCCGTACCCAAGCCCTCTCTTTTCTTATTCTCTCTGTTGCTCTGTCTCCCGCACTCACACAATCTCTTCCCTCCAATTCAGAAACTATCTTTTTAGTCTTCCTAACACACAGCAAATGTTAGTATACTCTTGAACTTTTTCAAAAGCAATACATTTAACCAGCTACCTTGAAATAAAACAAAGCCATTGTTTACTAATGCTGTATACTATGCAGCCACTTCATAATCAGTAAACGTTCATGGAAGATGTTTCAGATATACATGTCAAGTAAATTCAGATGTGTACGTGTATGCATATATATTTTTCCTTTAAATGTAAATATCTTCAGTCTCTAAGGTCTTGGCCAGAGATAGAAATATGTAAGGTATTTTCTGTCCAAAGGCTTTTCAAGCCAGAAGTTCTGGATTTTACCCTCATTCACTGTTTACAAATCAGGAATTCTGCTGTTTCAAAACTCAGGATCATGGTGCATTTTATTTTTTGTATATTCAGGATGACTTCCGGCATGGGTGATGGATCTTGAGTGCTGGATTCCCGGCTCGGGATTTGCAGGCTGGTAGCAGTGGGGATTACACTGCAGGACACCAGGGAGTGACACGTGGGCTTTGAGTATGTGCACCCCAGATAAAGGTGCTTGCCACAGTGCATCCCTCACTGGGGGTCGAAAGGACCCTGCTCTGTGCCCCTTGTAGCCTGAGCAGGGAGCCTGTATGGTTCCAGCTCCCTCACCCCCAGGCAGTGCCAGTAGCCAAGCTCATAAATAAGCACAGGTAAACACCGGTTAGCAGAAACCTGGTACCAGGAGAACTGGGTCAGGGAAGAAATGGAGCACAGAAAAGTACTAAGAAAGTGGCAATCCAGAAAAGCATTCCATAGAACAGGACCTAAAGAGAAGGAAGAAGGAGAGGAGAACAGAGGAGGAGGGGAGATAGAGAAGAATGTTCGTCCTTCCCAACAGGGGAAGGAGGAAGCCGCGCACCATTTGTTGCCCGGTGTATTTGCAGTTGTCTGTCGCTCTGTGTCTTCCTTACCCTGGCAGCCAAGTTCCCACCTCTGACACTGGGGACACAAGATTGTCCCTGAGGGTTTCTCTTTCCCTGGTGTGTGCTGCAGAAAGCCTGCTACTTTGGCTCACAGCAACCTTCAATATGCACCCTGTTCCTTGTCATGCAACTGGAAGAGGCAAAGAGTAAATGAGCAGTCCTCATCCTTGGCTAACTGTTAGCCTAACTGGAGAGCTTTAAACACCCAGTGCCTGAGCCCCACATCCAGAGTGGATGCTGGGACGGCTCTGGAGGTAGCCTGCTTGTCTGCACTTTTGAAAGATGCTTGGATAAGCCTACCTGCTGTTCAGCCAGGGCTGTGTGTGCTGAGTGCTCTGTTTAGTTGGGAAGCAGCTGTGAAACTTGTTGGGCTCATTCTCTTCCAACCTTGTTGCCTTCACAGATTATGGCACCATTAAGAAAGTACGCGCACCCCTGAATCAGACCTCAAGCAGCTGTTTGCTGGAAGAGATCGAGCTCTTCCCAGAGAGGAGGAGGGAGCCCATCCGGAGCCTGCAGATCCTGCACAGCCAGAGCGTCCTGTTTGTGGGTCTGCGGGAGCACGTGGCCAAGATCCCCCTGAAGAGGTGCCGGTTCTACCGCACTCGCAGGTAGGCTGGTGCATGCGGCAGTGTGTTAGACAGACCCGCCCCGAGGGAGGGCATGGGAGGAGGAGGCTTCCCACTTCCCTGTGGCCCAGTGACCCCAGTACCTTGATGTCTGTGGACCTCCTGCACCCCAGAATGCAGGGTTCTCAGACAAATGGATTAACCTAACCATGACAAGATGCCTGCAAGGTACCCATAGAGGGCGAGCCACATGGTCAGGGTGAAATGGACTGTTCACTGCGTTGTTGCGCTTAGTGAGGTGTGAATGTTTCCTGTCACTCTAGCATGTGCTTATATTTTGTTTGAATGGCAAGCGCACACACACACACACACACACACACACACACACACACTGGACAGAGGATATTCTCACGTGTGTACTCCTAGGTCAAAGCTCTTCCTCTGATAACCCCGAGAGGAAGAACCAGTGAGGGTACCATGGCATCCTCTCTGGGCTCCACAGGCTGCTGCCCTGGGCACCTCCTTCTTTGGCTGCTGTCTCACTCGTGGGACTCTAGATCTTGCAGGTGGCCACAGGAGGACAGAGAGGACGTCCTATATTCACAGGGAACTAAGTGCTGCAGCTTCTCCCCTCCACCAGGCCAACCTTCTCATCTTCCATGTGACGTTGCTATTGACCGTGGAGCTCTTTGGATTTTAATGTGGAAAATGCACGCCCAGGTACCTAGGAAATAGAAAAGGGCTGTACATGTCAAAAACACAACCCGAGGCAGGGCATTTAGCTCAGTGGTTTCACTGCCTGCTTCGCAAGTGTAAGCTCCCAAATTTGATCCCGGTACCAAAAAAAAAAAAAAAAAAATGACCAGTATTTTCATGCTGCAAATTGCATGTGTACTCTTAGCCCTAACAAAAGATGCCCTTGGGGAAATCATAGTTTCAGGGTTCTTAGGGACCATTATTCTTATTCAGTTCCATTCCTCAAAGCAATACATAAGTGTAGATTTGTTGTAGAAAGGAAAAACCTACCACATACAGACCATTCTTTTTCTAAACAAGGTGCATGGGGGTGGTAGCTTAGAGACACAGAGGCCAAGATTCATGGTAGAGACCTATCCTTGCTATTTCTTGACCCTGTCTCCTAAAGTATTTTAGACCTCACATTCTTTCCTGACAATGTGAATTGGTATAAAATCAAATGAGATAAGTTATATGGTGTAAAATCAAAAGCTTTCTGCAGAGGAATATTCTTATGTAGCAGAAAGGTTTTATATGTAGCCATTATAATATTCTTTTCAAGACCATTCTAGAAAAGGAAATCTAACAAACAGCACCTCCTTTGGCATCAGAGGATTAAAGAATCCTGTCAGGATTCTCCCAGTGAATAATAATGCTTCAAGAACATTAGTAAAAGAGTGATATTTATGAACAACCATTTGCTGTATGTGTCCCCGGTGACTGTTGGAAATTTGTTGTGACTTGAGTTCCCTGCAGAACCTGCCTAGGGTGGGGATGACTCCCCCCCAGCTATTGATGGTTCCATGGGTGACAGGAGGGTCACTGTCCAGCTCGTGGGCCTGTCACACACTGGAAACAGCCAGAAGGCCACTGGTCTTCCAGCTGCAGCTCAATGACCTCCAGTCCTGGTGATGAATTTGGGGGCATGACACAGTGTAATGCACAGGAAGACGAAGGTCTGACGTCCACACAGGGGTCCGGAGGATGATTCTGCTGCCAGAACAGGAATGTGTGGCTTGCAAAGCACGAGGCCACTCACTCTTCCTTTTCAAATGGCTCTACTTTGTTGAGTCCTGGTTACAATAGTTCAGCTCTTGAAATATGCACCTCAGGGACCTAATTCCCATGTGAGGTCTCAAAGAGCATGGTGCTGCCCATCTCCCACAGCTGCTTTTCATGACAGGGGCATGAAAACCCACAGGGGCTGGAGCCAGCAGCCAGAGGCCAGGGAGGCATTCTTGGGTCTCCTGTTTTTTCCAAGGAGCGGAAGGCCACTGGTTCATCTTCGTCAGGCTCCTGGGAAGGAGAGTCTCACAGTTCTGTCTAGAGCTGGGTCTCCCTCCTGTTGACTTCACTCTCTCAGAGCAAGCGTTGATGAGTCCGCTGTGAACCCACAGACTGACTTCTGTGTGCCCCACTCTGAGTGGGCTGGCTTGAGTTTGGCCCCTAATATTCCATTTGAGAAGACAGTCAAAAGATGCTGACTCAGTATCCTGGGTTTTTCTAAAGTGTTTCTTCACTGTTGTCCTCTTATAGACAGACAAGGAAACCTCAGTTTACACACTAGAGAAAAGAAGCTATTTGTAGACACTCAGGTCTATGCGATGAGATATTTTTGTTAATTTGTTTTATGAATCAAGGAGAAGAATAGTGTCTTTTTTAAAAAACAAAAGTAATTTTAATTTTCTAAAAATATTCTAAAAGAGTACACTGAATACCAATAGAATAAGAGTTGGGTAACGGCTGCCTACTAATTTCTTTGTAAAGCCCTTTTCATAGTAGGATATTGGGAATTTTTGAGAGCTATTGCAGAGTCCATTTTATAAATAAATTCTTGAAGTATTTTAAAAGAAAAGTTGAGCTTGGCTCAATGATCAGTATCCTCAAATGTAAATATGACCCTTTGAAGGATCCCTTGATCCTTCCAAATCCTATTTACAGATTTCACTTTGTTGAGCGTCTGTTTTTCAAAGAGTGCACAGCAATGTCATTGCAACGTGTGTGAGTGATGGTGAGTCGTACGTCTCACGGATTTCTCTTATCTGTTTGGCACAGTGCTAGCTTTCATCACCATGCTCCTCAGTCATCACAGCCATCCTCGGGGTGAAGGAGGTGTCACCCGCATCCTGCAGGTCCCAAGGTGACAGCTCAGAGCTCTGCTGTTCTGCACAAGGTCACGTAGCTCTGCCGGGTGAGACCTTGGCCAGAGCCTGTCTGCCTGAGCCCCTGGTGAACGCCGAGTTTGTGGCTTGCTCTCTGCTTCTGGCATGCTGAGGGCATGGGCAGATTCCATGGGCGGAGCCTTTGAGCTCCTTAGGGTCAGGAAAGTGCGGACTCAGCTGCCCAAGGTTTTTCCCACTAACTTCTTTTTGATGCATGGGGTCAGGCAGAGCAAAGAAACATGAAGCAGCCTTCGTGTCTTGTTTCTCTGAAGGATTATAAGGTGCATCTCCACTTCTACCCATTTTTGGGGGGGTTCTGCTCCTGGGAGGCACTGACAAAGCCCCTCCTGCCCTGTCCACAGTTGGCATGCATTGTGATTCAAAACGTGCATTTTCCCTAGGAAGGTTATCTTACTGAACAGTATTTAAAAATTTGCATTTTACTTGAGTTTGATGGTAAAGTCTAGTAAAAAATACTTATTTTAATATTGGCATTTTGGGGCACTTAACAAATAGCATGGGAAAATGATATGAAAGAAAGGCAGCTCCCAGGAGTGGATGCTTACCCCTGGGGCTGGGATGCAGAAGAAACGTTTACTCTCTGCCTGCTTCCTGCTTTATGCTAGGATTGACTGACCCACGCCTAAGTCTCATGAAATGTGATGATATTTAGCAGTGTTTGAGGACCCTAGAGTCTGGAGGGCCAAGCTCTGAGTTCAGTCTGAGGAAGGCCTGGAAGCCGAGAACCCTGAAGGCTAGCTCATGAGCACCGGGCTCACGGTGGGCCACTGAACTAGCAGTGTCTTAAAGGGGAAAAAGGTCACCATGGGAGGCACAGGGTGGAAAAGCCAGCACAGTTGGTGACTTAATTATCTCCTGCTGTAAATGCCAAGTCGTAACCTGCACTTGGAGAGAGATGGGCTCTTTGGAAGACCTCACCGACTTCCCATGTCATGGCTTTAGGAAGGGACTTAGCTCAGTGGTGCTGCTGCCTGCCTCACAAGCGCAAGGTCCTGAGTTTGATCCCCAGTACAAAAGAAAAAACAGCAGCAACAACAAAAGCAAAGGCCAGGCACAGAACTGAGGCTTCAGCAGTCCCATCTAGAAATGAGGCTGTTATTTCCCTTTGAGGAAATACGGCAACCTTCCGAGTACTATGAGGACTGCAGCTCTTCAAGAGTTGGAAAAGGACCCTTGGAGGAGAGAAGAGAGGGCTTGTGACATGGACTTTGTCATTTTTAAGGATGGTGCATTGATTAGATCAGTAACTCGGGGAGCTTTCTCTGCAAAGGGAAAGAAAATCCTCAAGGCTCACCGGGTAGAAGTCCTCTGCTGCCAGGGCTCAACTCTGTCCTGGAGTGTGACCACAGTGCAGGGGCCAGGCTGTGGGCAGAGCAAGGCTGACAAGTTCACAGGCAAGGAAACTGTGATCTGCTTTATATGCAGTCTGCTTCTTGCACAGGGAGCCAAGTGAAAGAAGAAAATGTGTCAGCTCCTACGTCCCCTGTCCCGTTCCATAAGCAACCGGTTGACCACACAACAGGGGAACCAGCGTGCTCAGCAGGCGAATCTGCACACTGCTGAGCAGTTTGAAAGCCTGCAGTTTCCTTTGTGGGGGTGGTTTGGGGCACCCCAGAAGCCAGAGATGACAAGAGTCTACCTCATGACAGTCCCTCAGGAACACGGGCGGTAGGGTGGGCAATGACCCCTTAGCAGCCTCTGTGTCCGCCCACGTCCAGGAGCTGGAGGGCTGTGGGGCTCTGCCGAAGCTCACTGTGCTCAGCTCCATGAAGCTTTGGCTTGTGGCCCTAGGAGCCCAGCTGACTGTGCCCCATGAACTGCAGTCACTGGCTCCTGAATTCTCAGTGCCATCTGCCTTTGGACTGGGTGAATTTCCATGACATATATGCCAATGCATGAACTAAATGTACTACCTAGCAGAGTACTTAGATTTACTCTCTATCCTGTGGACACGCATCCATTCTTTAGTTTTCATTTGACACCACAATTTATGAGAAGCGATAAGGCTATCAGGTTGTAGAGTTAAGACTTTGTGAATGAAGGGCTTATCTGAGCTAGAGAGAGAATGCACGAAGAATCATCATTCATACAGGGAAAGTCGGATTCCGTGTCTCACATGGCCAG